ATGGCTGGGTCGTCTGGGACGCAAAGGCAGCTTTTTCCACCTTTTGACCACAAGATGTCGTTAGTGTGCACTGTCTTGAAAAGCTTCGAGTAATGAACCTTTTTACAATACAGTTGAGGGGAAAGCCTCGGTGCTTCGCAAAGCTTCATTTTCCCATCACTACGGGAAAGCCTATGACTAGGGAACTAAGGACTAGGAACTGGCTCCATAATGTGCTACCACTAGGAGAGCGATAAACACAAGTAATGCTATTGTAATGGAAAGAAAAAAACGGAAAAAAAGGTAAAGAATTTTGTAAATCTAAATTTTGACATAACAAAACTTGTTTTTGTTGTGCATTTAATAACTTTGTATTTTTGTGTTCTGAATTTTTAGGGGTGAAACTAGTGGTTATCATTCAAATTCTAATATTACGTCATTCAGAATTCTTCTTCCTCTAAAAACATGAAGCTGTAACTTGATAATCTCAATATTTACAACTAATTTGACCTTTTTAAACATCTGCTGTTCAAAAATACAGATCCATGAAAAGAATGTCAAATTCAAAGTGACAAAATTCAAAATTTCAGGCTTCAGACACTGGTTTTCTTTTATTAAAGTGTTGTTTGAGGAGAGACCGTGTGTGTTTCTTTCAGTGTGTATCATTAGATTTCTTACAGCGCTTGGAAAATGGCTAGATGCCCTAGAAATCCATCATGATAAACTGTAAATATTGGCCTGTGACTAATTGGACTAACTTTCACTACGTGACACATTAATTCGTACCAAAGGGTTTGATTGTATGCACAATGTTCGATGTCAACAATAAACTACACTACCTGTCAAAAGTTGGAAATAATTCAAATTTATTGTATAAAGTTTTATAAAGATATCTCTTATGCTCACCAAGGCCGCAATTATTTGATCAAAAATACAGCGAAAACAGGAAAACGGTGAAATATTATCACAATTTAAAATAACTGTTTTCTATTTTAATATATTGTTAAATGTAATTTATTCCTGTGATGCAAAGCTGAATTTCCAGTCTTTAGTGTCACATGATATTCAAATAGAGAACAAAGGGTAAGCAGAGCAGAAGAAGTCTCTTTCAAAAACATTTTTAAAAAATGTCATTATTCCAAACCTCTGACTGGTAGTATATATGGGAGGTGCTTTTTTTTGTTGCAATCTAAAAGCTTATAAAGCCTGTTTATTTTGATTATCTAACTATGCACAATTACATTGCTAGTTTCATTTCTGTTGGTGTTTAGCATTGTTTTATCCCTGTTGTCTTACTCTGTCACAACAGATTGAGAAGCTCTGATCTAGATAAAGTATTATTAAATAAGTATCACCCTGGAACAGTTACATATTTTGTAATTTTATATATATGTATGTATGTATGTTTGAGTTACTGTAGATAAATAAGGGACGGCATCTGTCATACTGTACCTAATAAAGTAACAAACTGTTATGTATTGGAACACTTGCATTTTGATAGAATTTTGTTGTTAATAATGGTTCAATGTGGTTGTGTTTTGCATGTCGTGATACCTCTTTGACTCTCAGGATCATGGGCTGCAGCCAGTCTGTGTTGACCTCACAGTGACTGTCCAGGAAGGTGAGGATGGAGGCCGACGCCGCAGACGCCCCTCTGACACGAGACCGGATCAGACCTGATCAACACCAGCACATGTTCATTACCCACAACACATCGCCATCCCGAAATAATTAGAACAACACCAAATAATACATTCATTGAGTGCACAGATGAAGTTTGTCAGTTGCGTCTAATAAAGGCCACATTAAATCTAAATGTGAGTTTTATGTTATTTAAATCCATGTCTGGTAGACTTTAGTACATTAACATACCACTTCATCTGTATGTTAATGCACTAAAGCTGATAAAATTAACCTTAGGCAGATATACAAAACCATTTAAAAGTTTGTGGGCAATCAGATTTAAGTTTTTTTTTTTTATGTTAATGTTTTTGAAAAGTATCTTCTGCTCACTAAGGCTGCAATTATTTGATTAAAGGTGCCATAGAATGCATTGATACAATATTTTATTTGTCCCTAGAATGAAATGGTCTGTTTTTACCTTATTTGGAAGGGTCATGAATAATAATGTTGAGCTCTGCTCTGATTGGCTGTTTCACAGTGCGGCTCATTTCAGTAGCTCACACAGCAGGAAGGAAACACAGGGAAAATATGTATATTTCAATACTTTCTCTCGCAGTTATATCGTTGGGTAATTATACTGTATATAAAATGCGGGCATTAGGGAGCCGCTATTAATATGCGGGGCATTGAAACTGCTTTCGAATGCAGCTTTTTACTTTCACTTTCGAGATTTGCTATATATAGTGATATTCTCAATGTTACTCAGAAGACAGGATACAGGTTTAACTCATTCGAAATACTTATGCTTAATGTTACACTGTCAGATATGCAAAAGAAATCTATCATATCTCTTGCTCTGACTACTGTGTATAGACCACCAGGGCCGTATACAGATATCCTAAAAGAATTTGCAGATTTCCTCTCAGACCTATTGGTTACTGATAAAGCGCTAATTGTCGGAGATTTTAACATTCACGTTGATAATACAAATGATGCATTAGGACTTGCGTTTACTGACCTAATAAACTCTTTTGGAGTCAAGCAAAACGTCACCGGGCCCACTCATCGTTTTAATCATACGCAAGATTTAATTATATCGCATGTAATCGATCTTACTGATATAGATATCGTACCTCAAAGTGATGATGTTACTGACCATTTCCTTGTATCGTGCATGCTGCATATTACTGATATTAAAGGGGTCATATGATGCGATTTCAAGTTTTCCTTTCTCTTTGGAGT